ATTCTGCTCCTCTGATGCTGCTTGGCCTGCTGTGTTCATCCAGCTCTACACCTTGTTATCTCAGATTCTCCAGCATCTGCAGTTCCTGCTATCTCTGAAACAATATTTGAGAAGTAGTTAGACTTGAAATATTCTACAAGTCTAAGCCCAATGTTTGATAACTAGTGTGGAAACAGTGAAGGGGTTCTTTCCATGTTGCAAAACTCTGTGACTCTAAAACTGACCTTATTTTGTTTTGAAATTCCTGTCAATGCTTTCAAACAATACACACTTTAAACTTCTAAATCAAAGTCCCCTTGTTGCATTATGTCATTTAGGACATAACTATATTAACTTGTACAGCTGCTGTTTGCTAACAATTGAATTCCAGTGTCTGACAGGCATGAAGACAAGACTGAGAGAGTAAATGTATATGCTTGAATTTCTAGAAAGCCTTCAATAACATGTTATAGGCACAAAAACAACATGCAGGTTTTGTAGGGTCAGGAACACGGTAACAAAATGAAATAAAAGATGGATACAAAACAAAAAAAAAAGTTTAGGAGCTGAGTAAAGTTTTGCAGACTGACACAAATTGGGAAATGGTACCCTACAGGGATTCATGCTAAGGCCACTGTGTTCCCCGTGTATATCTATATCTATATATCTATATATACATACATGTATGTTTGCTCTTAGGAATTATAAATATGACAGGAATATTCTGATGATGACAAGTTAGGGATATAGCTAATAATGATGAGGTGTACACCTAAAGTATAAAACAAACAGGTACTCAGATGTAGTGGGTAAATGTTAAATTTAGATTCAAAGTGTGGGGAATATTTATATGCACATTTGGGTCAAATGACCTGTTTCTTTGCTATAGATTCTACAGTGATTGGCATGAGGGCCAGTTGGATCTTGTTGACTATGAGATCCTTGATTGGGGTTATTAACCTAGGCCAATCAGGGAGCCCTGGCTGACAGATATAAACAGGAGGTTCAGAGGGTCTCTCCATTCTAGGGACTGGCTCTGAGCTGGCTGTGTACTGAGCATACAAAAATAAAGGGTAACTTGCTGACAGGACACTGGCGTCTGTGCTGTTATTTCAGATTCTGTGTTATTTCAAATAAGATATGTTGATTAAATCACTCACTTCAGATTCTTTATAATCTACTTAAATAGATAACAGAGTCCTCTGAATAATTTAATTAGATAAGATCTCATTGAGAAATATCATCAATTCATGTATCTCAATATTTCATAGGACAGTATGACAGAATGTATTTGCGCAAGTCTAATCTGTGAAATAGATAGATCTGCTAGTCACATTTAAAGATTACACATCTCTGTATATGTCTTGGTTTCAGATTTAAATGGAGAGCTCCGGAGAATGCACTAGCCCTTACACAGATGCTAGCCCTAGCTTTTTGGCAATGCTTCAGGAAGTGGAGCCTCGGGTGGCTCGTCGTCGCCTTTCTCAAGCCCGACACCGTGCAAAGCTGGCAGGGCTTTTCAATCATCTACGAGACACAGTATGTCCTCAGTCCAAAAGGACCAAGAGGACCACTTCAAAAGTAAGAGAGGTTTGAGCATCAGTTTAAAAACAAAATACTGCTTATGCTGGAATTCTGAAGTAAAAACTGGAATACTCTGCTGCTCCGATAGTAACTGGAGAAAAAATCAGAATTCACGTTTCAACTCAATGACTTTTCATCAGAAATGCTTTTTTGATAATTGAGCAACAGTGGTGTGGCCCTTGAGATAATCAAATATGATCTGGTTTATAACCAAAATAGAAATTGCTGGAAAAACTCAGCAGATCTGCAGCATCTGTAAGCAGAAAGCAAAGGCAACATTTTGCGTCCATCAGATGAAGGGTCACTGGACATGTATTGTTGACTTTGCTTCTACTCCACAGATACTGCCAGATCTGCTGAGTTTCTCTGGCAATTTCTGTTTTTGTTTCAGATTTCCATCATCCACAGTTCTTTGTTTTCTTTTTGTGATCTGCTGTGTGTAGCATGTCATGCACGAGGTAAAAGGTTCTCAAGGAAGCATCAGAAGATAACATCCATATTTTCAATTATGTATCAACAAACTGTTATTTGAATTGAAATCTTGTTTATATTACAAAATTTGGAGTTATATATGTCTCAGTCTTTGTTGTATAATATGTTGCATTTTCTCTTTTAAGATAGAGATGAAATATAGTAAATTTTGAAAACAATATGAAATGAATTACATTGTATCTATCTCATTTTATGCCTATAAAGCCTGCTATCTTCCTTTGATCTGAATGTATAGAAATAGGTAAATTGTACAGCATCAGAATTGTTCCCCTCTTCCTAGTATGTACTGTATAGTAGTTGCCATGAGGAATAAAACATGAGACTTTCTCTTTTACTTTGATTTTAACAAAACAGTTCTTTCATCTGAATTGATACCATAGAATTAAATGACTTTCTTTATGTTAAGACATGGCTAAACATTTAATATAAATTGTATTTTACTTGAAGTGGCAGGTGCTGCGTAAGGCAAAGAATTACATCTTGGACTTAGAAAGAAAGCTAGAAAATTTGCTGAAACTTAAAGGTCAGTATATAAATAGAGTCATAGAGTCATACAGTGCAGAAACAGACCTCTCGGTGCAACCAGTCCATGCCGAACATAATCCCAAACTAAGTTAGTCACACATTCCTGCATTTGGCCCATAGCCCTCCAACATTTCTTTCACATGTGCCTATCCAAATGTCTTTAAACATTGTAACTGCATCCGCATTCACTACTTCCTCTGGAGGTTCACTCCACACAAGAAACCCTCTCTGTTAAAAAAAAGGCCTCTTGTGTCTTTTTTTAAATCTTTCTCCTCTCACCTTAAATATATGCTCTCTAATCTTGAAATTCCCCCATCCTAGGGAGAAGATACCTGCCATTCACCTTATGCAGAAGTATCATAATAATTCAGTTTTTAATTTCACATTCCGTGAAATGTCAGCAAGCAAAAAATATAGTCACTGATTTCTGATAATGCTGTGGGTTTAAAATGATACATAAAGTTTAGTTTGGATTAAAAGTTGCCTCTAGAGTGCAGAAGCAAATAGAGAACTGGGTGGAGAAGAAAAAGATTGTGGGATACAAATCCACAAGTGTAATAAGATCCTCTATTTGTTTCCTTTTTCTCACTGAGCAAGCCAGCATTTAATGATTGGTAACATTTATGGAACAGATCATGTCAAGAGTTGTTTGGTAGCAGCATTCAGTTTTACCCAGCACTAGAGGAAGGGGCTTATTGTAAGCTTTTCGATAGATCACTAAAGATAGTTTGGGAATTACTGAAGAGGATGACCAAAGGTTACAGGCAAGAACTGAGATTGTAAGGGAGTGACATTTTAGGAGTGTTGTAGTTAACTGTTTGGACAGGCAGCTGATCTACACAGATTCTGCACAGCGTACTTAGTGAGGAATCAAGAGCATCTGGATGGCTCTATGCTGTTAGAACTCAGGAAGAATTCCCAGAAATTAGTAGGCAGCTAGGTGTTTAAGTCAGGCCTCAGAAGAAGTCCTAGTGTGTTAGGAAAATGGAAAGGAAGGCTGTGAGAGGCTTAGAAGAAGTATGCAAGCATTATATTTCAATACAGCTGAGAATGTGGGATTTGAAAAGCTTCCCAGCAGTATTGTTTGATGTAACTGAGCAAGATTGGAGCTTAAGGAAAAGAAAATATGAGGCGGGATCAGCTCATTAAAACTGGCTGTTGATGATCGGCTAGAGTAATGCTTGTGAATGAGTGCAGGGGAACCAGGGAGCTGGTAAGGAAAGGAGGGTGAAATTGACCAAAATGGGAGAAGTCATTGAGGCACTCCACAGTGGAGTAGTTCTTGAGATGGAGTTCCAAGGCCAGATCAACAAAAGTGAAGAATTGTGAAATTTAATAAGATTTGATGACCTTCTGCATTCATTAGTGTCTTTATCTCATTTGCTATTTGACATGTGCTGTGAGCTATTCAATCACAGTCTATTGCCATGTTAACCATGTTTTTATTCTGGGTGTTATAAGTAAGTTATACAAGTATTGTAGATTATATTACTGTTCGATTGTTACCTTCTAAGGGAGATGCTGGGTTTGATGAAGGGAGGAGGCTAAATGAGTGTTTATGTAGGGTGTGGGTTTTGAAGGAGGTGAGTGAAGGCCGAGGAGAAATGTGGAGTGAAGGAAATAAAGACAGTAGGATGAATGAGGGAGATGTGGGGCACATTTAACTCCTCCCTTTGCTGCTGCCACAACTGAAGCACTACCTACCCCTCCCACCACTCAACTGAAGGTGAATTTCTCCAGCTCAACAGCCAAAATTAACTTCATCTGTGGTCACTTGAGGCTTCTGGCATTAATATGGGATCACAGAGAAAAAAGTTTGCAAAGGACTTGAAAAGAAGTGGGTAATGACACGGTAAATGTGTTGATCTTGATTTACACAATTCTGCAAAGATTCCATTGGACTAAAAGGTAGCAAATATAACTCCTCCATTCAAGAAGGGAGAAAGGCAGGAAACTGTATGCGAATGTTTATCATGGAGACATTATTAGAATTCATCATTTAGGATGTTATAGCTGGATACTTAGGAAAATTCAAGGTAATCGGGAAGAGTCAGCAAAATCATGTTTAACAGATTAATTGGAGTTCTCTGAAGGAATAACGTGTGCTGGGGATAAAGAGGAGCTGTAGATGTACTGTGCTTGGATTTCCAGAAAGCATATGACACGTGCCACATGAAAGATAATTATGCAAAATAGGAGCTCATGGTGTAGGGGGAAACATATTGACACGGATAGAAGATTGGACTGGATCTTCTTCTGATTGGCAGGATGTGATGAATGGAGTCATGCAGGCGCCTGTGCTGGGCCCTCAGTTTTTTACAATTTATATAAATGACTGATTAGGGGAGTAACATCATGGTAACTGAATTTGCAGATGACAAAGATAATTAGGAAAAGTATGTTGTGAAGAGAATGTAAAGAGGTTGCAGAGGGATACAGATAGGTTGAATGAGTAGGCAAAAATCTTGTCAGATGTAGTATAATTTGGGAAAATGTAAAGTTGTTCACTTTGACAGGAAGAATAAAAAAGCAGATTACTAAAAGAGTCCTGCAGAGGTACAGAGAGATATAATTGGCCTAGTACATGAGTTCGCAAAAACTTACTGTGCAGGTACTGCAACTAATTATGAAGGCTAATAGAATGCTATCCTGTTTTGTGAGAGCAATTGAACATAAAAGTAAGGATATTATGCTTCAGTTATACAGAACATTAGAGAGGTCACTTCCCAAATACTGTGTGCAGTCACCTTGTTTAAGGAAGGATGTAGGTGCGTCGGAGCTGGTTAAGAAGTGATTTACTAGGTTCATACTGGGAATGAGTCAGTTGTCGTGAACGGTTGGACAGACTGGGGCCTGTTTCCTTTGGAGTTTAGAACAGTTGGGGGTGCCTTGATTGAAGTTTACAAGGCATGTAAGAAAGACATTATTAGAATAATTATGGGGAATTTCAGTATGTAGGTGGACTGGGAAAATCAGATTGCTAGTGGATCCCAAGAAAAGAAATTTGTGGAATGTCTAGGACTTGTTATTTTTGGAGTAGCTTGTGGTAGATCTTACTAGAGACAGATATTTCTGAATTTAGTGATGTGTAATTAGGCAGACTTGATTAACGTCAAGGAACCCCTTGGGGACAGTGACCACAATATAATAAAATTTACCTTGCAGTTTGAGAAGGAGAAGCTAGAATCAAATATAACGTTATTACAGTTGAGCAAAAGTAATTAGAAAGACATGAGGGAGGTTCTGGCCAGAGTTGATTGGAAAAGGAGCCTAGTAAGTAAAATGGTGGAGCAGCAAAGGCAGGAGTTTCTGGGGGTAATTTGCGAGGCACAGCAGAAATCCGTCCCAGGGAAGAAGAAACATAATAAGAGGAGGATGAGGCAACCATGGCTGACAAGGGTAGTCATGACATTGTAAAAATAAAAGAAAAAATATACAATGTGAAAAGGTTTAGTGGGAAGCCTTTAAAAACTAGTAGAGGATAACAAAAAAAGGGGGAGAATATGAAATATGAGGGTAAGCTAGCTAATAATATAAAAGAAGATGGCAAAAGTTTTTCTAGATATATAAAAGATAAGAGAGATGCAAGAGTGGAGATTGGACCACTGGAAAATGAGGCTGGAGAAATAATAATGGGGAACAAAGAAATGGCAGAGAAACCAAAGAGGCACTTCGTATCATTCTCCATGTTACAAGATACAAGTAGCATACCAGAACTTCAAGAGAGTCAGGGGGCAGAGGTAAGTGAAGTGGCCATCACTAAAGAGAAGGTACTGGGGAAACTGAAAGGTCTGAATGTGGATAAATCACCCAGACCAGAGGGACTATACCCCAGAGTTCTCAAGAAGATAGCTGAGGAGATTGTGGAGGCATCAGTGGTGATCTTTCAGGAATCACTGGAGACAGGGAGGGTCTAAGAGGACTGGAAAATAGTTAGTGTAAACCCTGATTAACAAGGGAGAGGGGCAGAAGATGGAAAATTCTAGGCCAGTTAGTCTGACCTCAGTTGTTGGTAAAATTTTAGAGTTCATTATTAAGGATGAGATTGCAGAGTGTTTGGAGGTGCATGGTAAAATAGGGCTGAGTTAACACAGCTTTGTCAAGAGGAAGTCATGTCTGACAAATCTGTTAGAATTCTTTGAAGAATTAGCGAACATGTTAGATAAAGGAGAGCCAGTGGATGTGAACTATTTGGATTTCCAGAAGTGCCTTTGACAAGGTGCCATGCTCGAGGCTATTGGATGAGATAAGAATCCATGGAGTTAGGGGTAAGGTACTGGCTTCTATCAAGGATTGGCTGACTGGCAGAAGGCAGAGAGTAGGGATAAAGGGGACTTTTTCAGGATGGCAGTCAGTGATCAGTGGAGCTCTGCAGGGATCAGTGTTGGGTCCACAACTATTCATGTTATACAGTAACAATCTGGACAAAGGAACTGAGGGCATTGTTGCTCAGTTTGCAGACACAAAGATAGGTTGTGTTGAGGAAGCAGAGAGGCAGGAAAAGGACTTGGACAGGCTACAAGAGTGGACAAAGAAGTGTCAGATACAATACAGTGCGGAAAGTATGAGGTCATGCACTTTGTTAGGACGAATAGAAATATAGACTGTTTTCTAAATGGGGAAAGGCTTTGGAAATCTGATGCAGAAAAGGACCTAGGAATCATAGTTCAGGAATTTTTTAAGGTTAACGTGCAGATTCAGTTGATAGTTAGGAAGGCACATGCTATGTAAGCATTAATTTTGAGAGGCTAGAATATAAGAGCAGAGATGTACTGTTGAGCCTGTACAAGGCTCTGGCCTGACAGCATTTGAAATATTGTAAGAAGTGTTAAGCCCTAATCTAAGGAAAGATGTGCTGGCTTTAGACCTGGTACAGAGGAGGTTCACAAGAATGAAGGACTTTGAGGAACAGTTGAGGATTCTGCATCTGTACTCAATGGAGTTGAGAAGGATGAGTGGGGAAATCATTGAAACTCACAGAATACTGAGAGGCCAGGACAGAGTGGAGTAGATGTTTCCACTAGTAGGAGAGACTAGGATCCAAGGGCACAGCCTTAGAGTGTAGAAATGATCTTTTAGAACTGAGATGAAGAGGAATTTCTTTTCAGCTGGAGGATGGTGAATCTGTGGAACTCATTGTCGCAGGGGTCTGTAGAGGCCAAGGTATTGAGAGTATTTAAGACAGAGATAGATATGTTCTTGATTAGTGAGGGAATCAAGGGTTATGGGGAGAAGGCAGGAGAATGGGGTTGAGAAACATAGCAGACCTAATCGAATGGTGGAGCAGTCTCAGTGGGCCGAATGGCCTAATTCTGCTCCTGTTTTGTATGATCTGTATTGCGTTTAAAATCTCCCACAATTATCGCCATGCCTCTCTGACAGCTTCCCATTATTTCTTCCATTATACTCCAGTCGACTGTATTGTTATAGTTAGATGGTATGTCCACCACTCCCACATATATCAGATACATTCATAATTGGAGCAGTACTTACAAAAGGTTTCACTTTTGAGTGGCTAGAGGCATATTTATCACAATCACTGTGCTCTGCATTCTTGACTATGAATGGAGCAAAGCAGTGCTCTCTTACTTTTATGCCTTCAGGACATCTAAAAGTATTGTTATTTCTTTACAGCTCTGGTTTTGTAACTTTCTTATGAAAAGGCTTACATCGGTTCAATTTTTTTAATGCAAGCTTATAGCAATATTTGTTCAATAATGTTTCAAACTGTAGCTAAATAGAACTGCTATGAGCTTCACAAATCTGACTAACTTCTCTGATACCTCACAAAATGACAGAAGCATATCACTTGGAAGATGGCCATCCGTCAAACTTGGAAGAAGTAAAAGAGCAATACATCAATTACTACAAGGAGCATTGGTACAGTATGACAAACATCACAGATGTACTTATTATAGGAATAATTAATTCAGTATGGACACCAAAATACTGCCTTTTCTTCAAATGGGACCATTATTCCAGTTTAATGGTTTGAACTCCCATATGTGCTGTAATCTAAAGGGAGTAAGGCCTCATGGAAATAGAGCTTTTTAACGTTGCCCTGTGAATATGCTTCAAGTTATTTTGGCCCATTATGAACAGCTCATTTTAACAGATGATGTGAACTTCATTATTAATTTTTGATCTTGTCATGTTTGATGATAGTCATAATCATAGCTCTGAATGCAAAATCTCGACTAAATTTGTTTATTTTTGTTATTTTGTGTGTTCCAGTTGGGAATGGCAGTCATTGACATCCGGTTTGAGACAAACTTTTAGTATTTTCACGTTTAGATGGGTGATTAAAGCCCATTGTGGTCATGATATTGGTTGCTTTGTTAACTTTGGTTGATATCAGCATCAGGCACCCATGGTGGATGAGCAGACCAGGAACCTGACAACTGATGGTCTGCCTCTGACCTGCAGGGTTCTTCTTTAAACAGCGATATCAAGTTGTGATGACAATTTAACCATTGACCTGAACAAGAAAGCTCTTCTGGTTTCCTGCTAGACTGAACTAGTCAGAAGAACCATGAAGAGTTAGTTTTAAATTTTCATTACTTTCCTTGCAGGACAAGCGTGCCCTTTCAGTACTCATAAAGAATGTTTAGGCCCTATTTCTCCAGATGCACCCTCTTGCTGTTGCCAGTCAACTTCCTGTGTTATGACTGTGACACCCCCAAATCTCTCCCTCACAATGTAAGTGAGAAAAAGGGATCATTTCATTGCTTCTCCTAGCAGCCTCCTGCCACTAAACATTTTGCTCGTACTCAAGCGGACAACTGATTGGAGCATGTAAATGAAAACCAAGGATTAAATTATCTTGGGTCTGACACATCAGAGGTCAGGGAAGATATTCAGCTCTTATTGAATATCACCCACCTGATTCCTGCCCCAAGTTAAATCAGAACTTTTGTATACTTTACTTGGCTTGTCTTTCAGAGTGCTGCACACCAATATGTGTCTAAAAATTCAGTAATTCCTTTATAATTTTGAAGGCAATGCCATTCAAGAGTTGTCACACTTTAGGAGGAGATTGTTGGGGGAGTTTCAGTTCACATCAATGGCACCTAAAGCAATACATGGCAAATGGATCCCAAAATGTTTCTTTGTGCTGCATGGGGAGGCGTCCACCATTTAGTAGAGGGCCAAGTTGCTTTTGTTTTGAGGGTGGGTTTGTACATCTTAGTGAAAGGATTGTTAGGAGATAGAAAGAAATAAAAAGATATTTACTACTGCCTTTGGTTCTAAAACTGAAATTGTTTTGATCCACTGGAGTGGGTTGGCAACTTGGTGGAGGAGGCATAAAGTTAGGTGCATGACAATGGCACATGCCGTCACTTGTGATTTTACTCTCAGTGGGACAGGTGTGAAATGGCATGCTGGCTCGTGGACCAGTTGAGGTCTTTAAATGGCTTTAATGACCCCTTCTCATGCTGCTGGAAATTTACCTGCAATGGAGGAGCCTGGTGCCAAGTATCCAAGTGGTGGGTGGACTGGTGACCAGACAAGGAGGATGTCTGCTTTTCAGAAACCCTGTGGCTATTGGAGAGCTCCACTCCTTGTCAGCTCAATTCCCTTAATTCCACCGAAGTCTACACAGACTCCTTGACAATAGCTGTTACCCTGATCCTGATGAGATGATGAGCTTACCTTTGTCTGGTTCTACTTCAGGGGATTGCCTTCAATCCAGCAGTGGTCACTGCAGGGTGGGCTAAGCCTTATTTTTAAGCTGTGAGGGCAAGGATACACCCCATCCCCCTTACGCGTCAGGTGGCATAACTTGTAATGGTGTTCAGGTGGGAGACGCACCAGTCAAACTTGGTGTGATCACCTCAGTTACCTAATTGTAGCATCAGGCTGAGTTTGCATTGCTGGCTGGTCTCTGCAGACAGTAGGATCCCTATCATCATTTTATAACTCTACATGGTGTAATCAGCCTTCGGTTCTTCAAGTTAAACTATCCTAAGTGAGAATCTGTACGGAATGGCAGAAGGCTGCCACTGAATACTATTACTATAATTCTAAAAGACAGTCATAGAATGCCAGAGTCCCTGATGCAAAACCCTTAGTGGTGAATATGGGCAGGAGGAGAGATGCCGTGGTCTCACTGGGTTCAAGAGGCCCTTAAGTACAATACTCAGAGGAATTGGGGGACCAATGAGGTCAATTCCTGATTTTTCTAAGGGCCCGACAGCAGTGCCATAAGATGTCAGATTACCCAGGAAAGTGGTCAAAGTCAAAAAATGAATTTTCGTATGATATACGTTACCCACCATAACACCAACATCTCATGTTACATAATGCATTACATTGTTATTAACATTTCTTGGTAGTCAGAACTCACACTGACCTACAGAATTCCATCTTGCTTTTACGCACTTACCAATATCGCTAATATCACATCCACCTCTCATTACCACCATATTCCTCTAGCTATTTAAATATGGCAAGAAAAGCACTGACATTCTTCCCTTTCTCTCATTGGACAAGGGTGGCATACAATTGTCAGGAGCAGAGTACAACTGCTAGAGAAACAAAGAAACTCTTGAATCCTATGGAGGAGATGATTGTCCAAATCAGCCTTACAAAGCTCATGATGCGCACTATCACTGAGAACATTCAGTATGATTGTGTATTCCTATTTTATGCCCCTTCTCAAATCCCAGCATGCATTTATCCTGCTATTTGGCATAATGGACAAGCTGCAAATGGACCTCTTGCTATCCATCTCACCCATCTCTAACCCGCCCAACTGAGTTCTTGCTTTCAAATAAATAAGACCTGCCGTGTAATTTAGCTTAAAGAGAAGCATTGAAAGCAAAACCACGCTATTGATAAAGAGAAACACCCCATTTGCTAAAGCATTCAGAACACCAGCTCAGGTACTGACACCATGCATTCCTGATAGACTCTATAAAGTTGGGATCAATAGGTAGTGAGTCACTGGGCAAGCTGGAATTATGCTGGGGAGAGGATGATTGGTGTGTCAGGCAGACAAGCCACTGCAGAGGACTCAGATGTGAACCTTGATGGGATGGTGTAAAGGAGGTCACTGGTGGTTGCATGCATTAAGGTACTGGGTCCATTGGCAGGTCTGCCTTGTAGTTTCTTATCTCTGTCAAGGAGCATGCAGAGGTTTGGCTCCAACCTTGTGCAGAGTTTGCTCACTTCACCGCCTCTCCATCATCGCCCTATTGTGCTGATGATCCAGAGGCACTGTTACAACTGTTTCCTTACTAATTACTGCCTTTATGTGGACAGGTCTTTTATACCTCTGCTCTCCCTGTTAAGATGCAGCAATTCTCTCAGGCAAACTCAGTAACTCACTCCAAAGTACTTCCAGATAGTTTGCCAAAACAGAAGTTCTTCAGAATCATGTTATCTGCAAATTGTGTGCCTGGCCCTTTGGTAAAGCTGAACATTTGAGCTGAAGTGAGTGAATATTCATTGAATGGACTCTTGTAGTTTGAATTTGGGAAATGGGCATGCACCAGCAGATAGGGCTGCGTGACATATAGGATGTCTTTAATTGGCTTCCTACACACACAGGAGATGCCTGCTCGAACATGCTTCTCAAGATAACGTGCCTTGTGGGCTTCATAGGAAGTGGATGATTGCACAGCTCACAGACCAGGACAGTGTCAGCTTCAGCAATGAGTGGCAATATCACAAATGTATGAAAAGAATTCTAAGAGTTGCATCAATTCAAAAGTGATTGAAATGCTGGTCCATATGACTTGGCAACCCTTGACCTGGAAGGAAGTTATACCAGAAGCTATATCGGTGGCAGTCAGAGGAGCTAGAGGCTGAAGGCACCCATACAGACACAGAAAGCAGACAGAGACAAAAAGAGGGGCATAGTTGATTCTTGTCATGACAAGAAACAAGTCACTTTTAGGAATAGGTCCAGAAGCAGAATCACATTGGACTAGAAATGCTAACTCTGTTCCTCTTTCCACAGAGGCTGCCAGACCTGCTGAGTTTCTCCACAATTTTCTGCGTTTGTGTCAGTTTTTCTGTTTGGGAGAAAAGGAGACTGGAGTTATTGGAGACATTGTAAAGTCTAAAACCTAGAAAGCTGCTTACGTAGCTCAGGGATGTGTGTTTTTCCGGAGTGCCAACTGTAAACTAGGGTGTTATTAGTTGGTCAGTTAAAATGAAACTCTGGAAAGCTACAGCATCAGGGCTGTCATGACTGAGTGATAGAGGATTCAGAGAACTATGTCTGGCTGATAATAATTGAACCTGTAAAATCTGAACGTCAAAGCTATCGTCAGATAGGTCCCTTGACCTATTTTACACAAATAAAAAAATGGCAGATCGTGGAACTGTGTAACTGTGTCTTAGAACAATTGTGCAGGGCGTGATGCAAATGCTTGTGGTGTATAAGATATGTCTTTATTGTGTCAACTATTTAAGGTGAAATGTGCCTTTTTCTGTTTGCCTTTTAAATCATGTTTCATGTTTAATTTGCGTTGACCAATTTGTGTCAAAACGAAGAGAAAATTAAAAAGGTATCTTGTTGGTAATTTCTGCATTTGCAGGGCTTTCAGTAAATTTATTTATTTTGGTATGTGATGTCCCTGGAAGAATCATAACAGTGTATATTGTTTACTTGCTTTTCCTGCTTCCCGGTCTATTTGGATTTAAGTTGGCAGTTTGTGCATCTTGATTATAGTAGATTTAATGAATGAGAACCACCTTAAGCAGTGGGTAACATTTGTTTAATTTAGAGAGAACAATAACGTTGGAACATTGATATAGTGTTAATCAGTATATTGGATGGTGTTGCAATTTCAACAGATGTTACTATGCCTATTGCTACATTAACACGTAACAGGAATACAGCATTCCCACTTAATACAAATATCAGTGATGCTTTAGCCATTGAAGATTATGGTTAAATTCAGGGATTGTGAAGCAGATATTTTGGAACCATAAATCTAGTTTTATCTCTTGAAATATAAGAATCTTCGTAAAAGTACAACTTCTAAAAATTTTGATTGAAAGACAATAATATTCTGATTTTAAATGACAAAATTACAACATTTGGAGAAATTATGTCCCTGAACTTAAGGACTTTTCCATTCTTAACCATATTTTCTCTTTTTTTTCTCTTAATGTCCATGACAATCTTCTGCCTTCACAGTGACCTGGCATCAGCAAACCTACCTGGTCAGACAAGGATGGCGCTTTGGCAATGGCTGAGAGAATACAGAGGCCATCCTGCAGAGAGTGATCTGAAACCAGTTAATTCTCAGACTCCTTTGAAATCTTCAACAGATCTCATAGAATTTGAAGGGTTAGTTTTGCACAGATCATAATATTGTGGAGTGAAAAATAAATACAAGTTAACCAAGTTTCTAGAATCATAGAATCCCTTCCATATGCAAAGAAGCCATTCAGCCCATCGAGCCTACACCGACTCCCCGAACAAGATCCCAGCCAGACCCAACCCTTACCCTATCCCCGTAACCCCCCATTTCCTATGGCTAATCCACCTAGCCTGCACATCCCTAGACACTACGGACAATTTAACATGGCCAATCCACCTAACCTGCACATTTTTGGACTGTGGAGGAAACTGGAGTACCTGGCAGAAACCCATGCAGACATGGGAAGAACATACAAACTCTACACAGATGGTCACTCAAAGCTTTAATCAAACCCGGATCCTTGGTGCTGTGAGGATGCAGTGCTAACCACTGAGTCAGAGTGCCAACTTTTTTTTAAGAAACAGAATCATAGGATCACTACAGTGTAGACAGAGGCCATTCAGCCTATAGGATCTGCACCAACCCTCCGAAGAGCATCCCACCCTTTCCCTGTAACCATGGCTAATCCACCCAGCCTGCACATCCATGCACGCTATGGGTGGGGCAATTTACCATGGCCAATCTACCTAACATGCACATTTTTTGGACTGTGGGAGGAAAGCACAGCACCCGGCAGAAACCCATGCAAGCACGGGAGAACATGCAAACTCCACACAGACTCAATTCCAGAATCAGACCCAGGTCCCTGCCACTGTGAGGCAGCAGTGTTAAACACCTTGTTAGAAAGATTCTTCATGTAGCCTTTCTCTTCCTCTTACCCTACTGGTTCCTGTTTTCAGCAATGCTCTAACAGCAAAGTATTAATAAGATGAGGAAAGGATTCAATTCTTTATCTGTTGCTGGACAAACATGCCACTTTTTGATTAGAATAAGTTCAGATTTTCTGATGTACATAGGCTGACACATCAGTAATTCGCACCATGAGTCATATGGGGAGTACAATTGTTTGTGCAGATTATGCTTTCCTAATATTTCCAAACTCTGAATTTAATCTGGTGTAGCTTCAAATGTCATTGATTTGATTGGTCCTGTCATATGCCTCTTTCCATGTAATCATAAAACCTATTTCACGTTATTTGAATTCCTGGAGCAATGTAAATGTACTTACGTCTTCATAATAATCCCTAATTATCCTGGTAATCTCCCTAATAATAATAATATTGGAACTCCGTGTTGTGCACTGTATTGAGAAACCCTATCATTTGGGAGTTCTGGATGTCTGAATAGCAGTGCAACCCATCACAAAAAAATCAGAGAACACAAGAGTATTAAGTGCAAATTGAGGGTTTATATTCTGACACTGCAGTGTATAGTGTTTTAGTATTAATAGGTTATTTTGGACCAAAGGCAGTGATAACATGATATTTATGATTAAGAACTTCGAATATTATACATGTTCCATAGGTAGAAGTGTCAACCAACTTCTAGGCTTCTCTTTACAGACAAATGCAAAAATTAGACGCTGAAACATGCCAAGTTGTTAGTTTTGAAATGTTTTCCTACTGTATTTTTCTTCTGACAGCTATTTGAATTTTTACAAAGAAACTGTGGACCTTTTAGTGGAGAACAGGATAGTGTCTATGGAACAGATCACCCTCCCCATTGTATCAAAAGCAATTGCACACCTCTGGCAGAACATGTCTGGGGAGAAGAAGACAGACATCTTCAAAAAATGTTCTCAAAGTGTGTGTTTGTCCCTAGGAGAGCAAATCTCCTTGCAGCTCCCTTTACAGATGGACTGTACTATGAGGGACAGAGCTTTAGACAGCCAAGGAGCAAGTGGTTCATCAGAATCCAATCATGATGAGGTACTGTATCAAGAAATTTCTATGCACAACTAATTAAAATAAAATAATTCTACTTATTAGACAAATAAAAGACAAAAGTTTTTCTTTGCCTCTAGTTTTCCAATTCCTATGGAAAATAGAACATAATGTTATGCTGAACAAAATCTATAAAGCATGAGGCATGTCCTCTCACATATAATCTACTTCTCTCTCCCTGTTGTGGATTTGTGTGGCAAAATACCATGGATATTTAAGTCACTTTGTAAAACTGAAGGGTGTTATGCTGTTTGTATTCTTGAAACAAGCAAGGTCCTAAATGTATCCAACCCGCCCAGCAGTCAACATAGTGTCCAACATTAGATGTGATACTCAAAGCAGTTTCCCATGTCTTGCTCGAGGCACCAAGAGATTCGCTGATCTGAGCAAGTCTGAGGTGCAAGGACTGATACCTTTCAGATTGGGTGGCTTCTTTCCATTGCAAATCTTGTCTTCTGCCTACTTCAGACTTAACTTTTTGGGAAATCTAAAAATCCAAGAGTATGGAATCCTGATGTATTTCATGTATCACCCACTTTTCTTGTCCATTATGCCTGGGATTCAAGTGTCCCTAGTCCACTCAGTTAAGGACTGTTGGAACCATGATTCTCTAGAGTAGCTTTGCTAATTAGATAATCTTTTTCTCTGGTATATGCCTGGAGCAACCATTGGCATGCCAATCTGCTGAATCAGTTACTGTGTTGGTCTGGTAGTAGTCATGGAATTAAGTTTTTGTTCGCCTATAATGTTGGGGCAATTTGTAATTCTGCTGTTACTGGCATATAAGCACCATGCAGCTATTTGATTATCATAGCTACCATAAGGCAAGAGGGGTATTACAATTTGCATTTGTATTAGCAGTTTTCTTAGTTAAATATCCCGAATTGCTTCATGGGCATAAATATAAAAATGGATGTCAACAAAGGAGAGGTTATTAGGAGGAAGGAGCAAAAGCTAGGTCAAAGAGATGGATTTTAAGAAAGAAATTGATGGAGGAAAAGGAATTAGTGGGGGTGGGAGGGGACCAGCTAAGTGCTCTGAAACCACAGCTATTAAAGGTAGAGCAAATGATGTACAAAAAACCAGCATCAAGAAACAATGAGTTCAGAAGAGGAGTTGCTGGGCAAAAGAGCTTATAAAGATACATAGACATGCTGCTGTGAAAGGGTTTAACAATGAGAATGAGATATTGAAATTTAAGAACTTGAGGGTAGTAGACAGTGTTAGGTGACCAGCACTTAGTGCAGGTTTAGATACAAAGCAGGGTTTTGTCTGATCTGATATTTACTGTCAATAGGAGGCTGGTAAGATGACCATTGCGATACTTGGGTCCGGAGGTGATATAAACATGGATGAGATATTCAGCAACAGTTGGTTAGGGATGAAGGTGGGAGCTGTAATGGAATATGAAGTAAGCTCTTATTGGGATGTGAAGGACATTTTTTTATTTCTAGGACAAACTTTGAAGGAAATAGTTTTACTGTTAATACAACTGGGCTAGACATAATTATTGGAGGAGCAAAACTTGTAGAAGTAGAGATTGTGTAAGTGATAGACCCTCAGAACAAGAATAACAGTCGTTTATGGCAAAAATCTGTGCATTGACTTTTCTAATGTGACAGGAAGCTGTTGCATTGCAGGTACCACATGGGGTTACTGCTGACCAGGAAACTCTTGCACAGATGTAGTAAATGAGATTTTATAAACGAAATTGCTTACAAAAAAATAAAATCTGCAATAGACATTTTGGATGCAATCTTCCACTTCCTAAAGGTGGAAAGAGGGGATATAATTAAGCGAGTTGGCCCTGGAGAGTAATTTGCCCTTTATTGCTCCTTTAGCAATTAAATACTGAGTAAGAAAGTCTCGAATAATGGTCCATTGGACCTAAAAGAGGAGCCCCTGAATGGCTGGCAGATTCTGGCAACCCAATACAATACTAAGGCATCTGATAGGCAGCATATAGGCCTGTTTTACATATGATTGGCTCTCAATCAGCTGATATGGAGGCGATGTGGTGAGTTATGAGAGCCTTAGAATTTGACTTTGTTTATTCTCAGAATGCATTCTGAGGTCATGGTGAATATCAGGTGAGTTGGCCTGATATGTATAAGTTAAAGAGCAGTGGATAGGGGCCAGGCATGGATTGGCATTAGTTTGATCAAGGGAATTAGCTATTACTCTCCTAACTCTTTGCTTGTATCTAGTAAAGATGGAATAGTGATATAATTTAACTAAGCCCAATACTTTCTCAAGGACAGCTGGGATGGGTATAAAATTCTATACTGCCATAAAATATTCACACTTCATGAACTAAAACAACATTACTTTCTTCCTTACTTGTTTGTCTTTGTCAAGATGCAAAGCAAATTGTCTAATCAACCAGTTGAAAGGAGTACAACCATTTTAATGTGTCGTTGTAACTGGTACCAGTGTTATTTTGGAAATCCACAGTAATAAAAAGATTTGTTTTTATTATTGATTCCCAGCTTTGCAGTATTCAAGGATAAGTCTTTTGCTGAGAATGCCTACAGAATGGTTTAGATGGTCAGACTTTTTATATGATAATGTTTCCTTGCATGCGTAATGAAGGTACTTGACTTTTTTCCTCCTCTTTGCAGATGCTTTTTGAAGATGCATTTGATTTAGCTTCTGGATTCATGGTAAAACCAGAGCTGAATGCTCTAACAGGAATAAAACGGGAAAGCAGGTAACACATTTTCATTTGTTTTTTTATGTCATGTTGAAAATGCTAATGTCATGAAAAACAGTACAAAAAATCCTGAAGAATCATGGACATGTTTAGCAGTAATCAGAATATCTTTGCTTGCTATGTTTGTGACTGTGTAGTTTTGGATTCTGCAACTAACTGCTGTGTTTGATACATATGTGAATCTACATTCCATTGACTGTCTGATACTTGTTACCAATCCAAGGGCTGTAGCAATCAAAAATCCTTGTAAGATTCATCAAACACTGTAATTTCACTCAAATAACCACTTTAATATAATGAGTCCAAATGTACATCAACATTTTCCCCTTCTCACCACCATTCTCCTGTGTCTGGGTCTCTCTCTGTTTTGAAGCTTTGGGTGGGCAGTACTGACAGCAAGCACTGCCTTAGTGATGGTACTGCTGGGTTTAGAAGACCTACCTTTGATTGGCTGGCAGGTCTTGATAGTGGAACATCCACCCCTCCCCTTGGGGTCCTTGATCACTGGGAAAGGCTTTGTGCCTGTCCAGAGCCTGAGTGGCAAAATCCACATTGAACTTTCCATTAGCAAGGTAGCCCCCTGGTGATTTTGTGGCTTTTCATTTTTCACAAACCTTATTTCTTTAAATCAAGGATCAGTCCTCATCCCCACTTTGCTTGGTGGTTAACATGATATTAGTCATTTTTTTCTCAGCTTTGCATAGTATCACCTGTTATGGGTTTTCTTTTATGAATTTCTCAGTCTGACTGAGAATCTTTGAGTCTGCACACCAGCACAACTAGCTGTCTCCTCCTTTATGTCAAGGTGTCAAAACTTTTATCTGACTTTGAATGAGTATCATTTTGAATTTCTGTCTCCACTGCAAGCAGTGGGCCTGTCTCTGGGCTTATACACTTAGTATAAGGGTACATATCTGTGACTCAGAACAGATCATGTAGGTGTCTCCAACCCCCTCTGCAAACTACTTCAGATTACCTTGAATTAAAGGACATAATTAAAAACAGAACCATCTTGTAGAATCCAGAATTGATGATACTTAACCAATGGAAAACTTTCTCAATGACTCATGTTCACCCTAGTTTGTTAAATCTTCTTGGCACTATACCCTCATGCTCAATATTGGAAGACTGCTTAAACTACTGCAATTTCCTAACTTCCTTTCCTCTTTTAAGAGCCTTGATGAAAACCCCATCCCCTTGACTAAGCTTTTAGTCATCCCTCTAGAATTTTGACTTCCATCATATCATTCTTGTTTTGGTGCTTGTTTTGTTGATAGACATTTTCTTGCATTAATTACTGTATATAATTTCATACTTTGTATAAGTGCAAGTTGCTTCTGTACTTGAATTGCTTTGTTTCTTTGATTCCTAACTTGTAAAATAAAACTTTCAACTGTCAGGGCTTGCTATTTCTTCAGCTGAAACCACAACAGTTATCATTATTATTAGCAATGATAAATGTACTTTAAAGTGCATCCATTCTAATATGAAAATTGAAGTTTGAAATCATACTGGTTTTTTCACTAATATTTCAGATCCCTGCCCACTGTCATCAATGGTGAGGTAGCAGCAATAATCTTAACTTCCAGCATTAGCCATCAGATGTAGGGCTGACAGGCTGTCAGCATCTAAGTGGTGGCAGAGGCAGCTAGGCTGGAGCTAGAATAAGAAACATTGACGTCGAGTGAGAGCCTGGGCCTCAACAGAAATTCCTGCCAGGGGCCCCTGCACCAACACATTGGAAGGTTGAATCCCAACATCCACTCCCTCAGGGCCCAAGCTAGGTTCTTGGCATTCATTGATAGATTGGACCCAGGATCCAGACGGCTTAAAGCTCCAAACGTGTGCAAATGGACCATAAAGTTTAGGCCACCTAATCATCAGACGGGACCTACAGCAGTGTCTGGGCAGCAGGAAAAATGCCCCAAAAGAAATAGGACAGCAGAAGAGACTGACTAGAGATTACTAGCCATTAGCAGCAGGATTTCAGCTAGCTCATTAATGAGCCAATTGACCTTGATTAACCTTGTTCCCACCACAATTTAGTGGTAGCTCCGGGATTAAGTGAACGTTGTATGATCTCCTGCGCCATTGGAAGCCCACTGAAAGAATCCCCTCCCCCTGCCCTTGTCTCTGATCCTGACCCCGAATCTTCACCCCATAACTTGCACTCTGCTTCACTCACCTGTGATATGGGGGTCCCCTTGTGACTCTGTACCTTGGGTAGTTGCAATATCACTATCAGGCATCACGCCTGTGGGTGGTATTCTGCCACTGAAACCTCAAAAATGGAGAAATTTGACATGACCACTAAGTGCCTGTATGGCAATTGAAACTACTGGGTGATTTCCATGTACTCTTTAATTGATGGGCATGACCTCTGTCAACCCAACAAAATCCTTGCATAATTTTTATAGGCTGTTATGATAGTGGTAAATATAGACAATCAAATTTTAGCTTTCGTAATCTGATTGTGTACCTGAGACCACAGATTGAGACAAGCCGAGAACATCAGCGTGGAACAAAACAATCACCTGCACTGAAATGACTATTTTATCTAAAGAAGTCGAAACCAGACAACCGAGTCACCATCGAGAAATTTGCATCCCTGTTTTAATGCACACTTGTATGATAATTTCACAAGTTGGGAGAAGAAAGGCTTGCCTTCTGGTTAATTAGCTTGAAAAGACAATGGAGTCAGACTTGGAGATATTCAAACAAAGCATATTTCATTTGCTGTTCTGGAGAAACATAGCAGAGTTGTGGGAAAATGATCTCTATCTTCATGTTTCTCTTAGAAGAGAACATCCAGTGAAAAAGCAAATTGAAAAGCAATCGTTCACAACATCCACAACCCGAGCTACAAATCTGCTTAAAAACAATCGTTCTTCAAGAACTTTGAAATATCTCCAAACTTTGCCACTCCTGAAGACACAACCTTAGGTTAAAAATCTAACACCAAGAACTTTTAAAGTGTGTAGCCTTTGTTTTGCCCATCAGTACCGGACAATCTCTTTTTTTCAAACTTATTACCTGTCTTCGTCTCTGTGTGTGTGTGTGTGTGTGTGTGTGTGTGATGTCACGTTTTGCTCTTTTTTCCCTCAGAGTTAATGGATAATAAATTCCTTTCTTGCCCTGCAACACCTTGTAACTGGCTCCTTAATTTTGATTAGTACAATGTTTTAATGGAAGTGTAATTAGCTGTGTACTAAAATGAAATATAAGTATGTATTGTGAATGACACAATAAAGAGGGGAGCTAAATTACTAGTCATCGCTTGGTTTAGTAGAATAAACAGTTTAACAAAAAAGGGTGAAAACATTGAGTTGCTTCAGTGGTAAATTTAAAAAGTGTAACAAGGATGTGGAATGTGATAATGAAAAGTAACATTCTCTGGACAGAAATTTGTGAAAATGTAAGATTTTTAAACATTCCACAGATATGATATTTTATTTGGAAGGAGAGTGAAAATAAAAGTTTTGAAAAAACTATTGGTCACAGACATACTGATGAACTGACCCCTTTGCCTTTATTTCCTTTGCGATTGGATTAAAAGCTCCATTTTCACTCATTGTTCCTCTGAAAATCCGGAAGAGACCTGCATTCTATACAAGCAGATAATTAACTTTGTGATGTCTCAATCTGGTCCAGTCATACATCACTCCGAGGTAAGTGTGCATAAATAATTAAATGACAATAGCTAAGTTTTGAGTTTGAGCTCTGATATAAGAGAGAGAGCACTGAACACTGAACCGAAGGTAGGAATGAATGGTTCCCATTTAGAGTACTTCACCTGCAGTTATTTTCTTTTTGATATCTTTTTCCTATTTTCTGCTACCTTTTTGGAGAGGTGAGAATGATTGCCCTTAACATCCAGGCAGCATTTGACTGTGCATGGCATCAAGGAAGCCTTGTAAAATTGAAGTTAATGGGTAGCATGAGAAAAGAAATCACTGGTTTGAGTCATACTAAGCAAAATGCTGGAGTTGTTGAAGGTCATGGACAGCTTCAAGGTATTGCTGCAAGAGTTCCCCATAAGGTACTGCCCTAAGCCAAACCATCTTCATCTGCTCATCCATAATCTTTCTAACACCATACATTCAGAAGTGGGGATGTTCACTGATGATTGCATAATGATCAGCACCATTTGTGACTTCTCAGGTATTAAAGCAGTCTGCATCCATATGCAGCAAGATCTGAAGAACATTCAGACTCGGGCAGATAATTTACAAGTAACATTTGTACCACACCAGTGCCAGGCAATGACCTTTTCAAACAAGAGAGAGTCTGACCATCTCCTCTTGATGTTAAGCATGATTGCCATCACTGAATTCCCCCATCATCAACATCCTTGGGATTTCTATTAATCAGAAATTGACATGCATCAGCCATATAAACACTGTAGCTACAAGAACAGGCTTGAGATTAGGACCTCTGCACCAACTAACCTGCCTCCATATTTTCCCAAAGCCTGTCCATTATGTGCAAGGCACAAGTTAGGAATGTGATGGAATATGTTTTATTTACCTGAGTGAGTGCAGCTCCAACAACATTGAAGAAGCCTTACACCACCCAGGAAGATAAAACAGCCTGCTTGACTGGCTGGTATCCCATTCACCACTAATACAGAGTGACTGTAGTCTGTAACGTCTACAAGATTTACTGTTATGTCTCACCAACCTTACTTCAACAGCACCTTCCAAACCTGAAACTTCAACCACCTTAATGGATAAGACTGTGAATACACAGAAGGATCAACACCCCCAACCTCCCCTCCAAGGCACACGCCATCCTGACTTGAAACTAAAATGTTATTCCTTCACCAGACCAGAATCTGTTGCCCATCCTTAATTGCACTCTGAGTGGCTTGCTCAACCATTTCAGAGTCAACTGCATTGCTATAGGTATGGCATCACATGCAGGCTAGTTCAGGTAAGGACAGCAGATCTCCTTCCCAAAAGGATATTAGTGAACCATATTTATTTTTAAATGACAATAAAT